AACATCTGCCTCCCAGGTTCAAGCAATCTCAATCTCCTGCCTCAGCCTCCCCAGTAGCTGGGATTACAGGCACCTGCTACCATGCCTGGCTAATTTTTTGAATTTTTAGTAGAGACGAGTTTCACCATGTTGGCCAAGCTGGTCTTGAACTCCTGAACTTGGGTGATCTGTCTGCCTTGGCCTTCCAAAGTGCTGGGATTACAGGCGTGAGCTACCACACCCAGTCACCTTTCAGGTTTTTGAACTCGGGAATGCCCTGATGAAAATTGATGGAACTAAGAGCTCTCTGGTGGTCTTAGTCAGAATTCATAGATACAGGAAAGAACTGGAGTGCAAAGAGATGAGGCAGAAGGTTGTGGCAGCAATCCAGGCCCTGGAAACAGAGTGAGCAGAGTTCGACATTAGAAAACCTGATTCTAGCCTCTGCCAGGATGCTGCTGCTGGGGAAGCTTGGGCAAGTTACAGCCACATCTCTGAAGCTTTGTAACTTCGGAGGGGAGAAAAAAATGGGAGTAATTATTTGCTTTTTTTTTTTTTTTTTCCTAGTTTCTGAAACTAGAAAACCTCTAGGTTCTTTCAACCTCTAAAATTCTACCTTTAAATTGTAATGCGTTCCAAAGGTTTAGATATGAAGAGCCTAAATATCATCCCAAGTCTAGGAGAGAATTTAGATGTAATAATTCACAACATTATCTTCTCAAAGTACAAGGGAATAGAATTGGCTTTAAGAACGCTCTCTAAACCAGATTATATTGAGACAAGCCTATCATTTCTGCATCACTGTTTTCTTTGTTTAAGAAAATGATTTGGGTATTACTGCTGCAGCAGTGGTTGATGATATTAAAATCAAATAAAAATATTACTCTTGAAACAAATGAAATGATTTAAACCTATCTAAGAAATCTTAGGAAAATATACCTAGGAGGCACACATTGTATTGTCATCAAATTAATTTTTTTTCTAAGCTCAAATTTAATTTAAAATGAGATATTTCTTCCACTGGTACAATCAACAGACAGTAGAGGGATTTTACAGAGAGATCACAGGAAATAAACCCTATAATAACGTTGGAGCAAACACCTGACACTGTAGTTCTGCCTTCTATTGCTTGTGATGCTTCTGGAAAGTATTTTTTAACAGCTTCCTGATGAACTGGCTCTTGGTGTGAAGCCAGGCTCATCTCTGGCTCACATCTGCAAACTTTTCCCCATCCTCACGTCCTACAACAAATCCATCTTCAAGACCGGAAAAGTTCTTGGTCTCAGCGTTTCTCAGAACAGACCCTTCTTCATCCTCACAGACATGGGGTTGGGGATCCCATTCCTGGGTTACTGAAATGACCTTCTCCTTAGAATGACCCAAAGTGCAAAGGCATCTGCCTGAAATAAAGCTTTCATCAGGCCATTTCTGCTATTAAAACCTCCAGGGATTCCATAGATTATAGGATTCAATCTAAATGCTGCAGTTGAGATCTCCATTGTTTCAGTGGGCAAGTGCATTATACTTTTTATAGACTTTAAACCTCCACATTCGAGATTTTGCTACCAGGAATGTTTTGTCCTTTCTCTGTGCCAACTCATGGCCAACAGCACCTCCAGTTCTGTCTTGAAACTCACTTTCTTACGGATATTTTTCTTGTTTAGTATCTACTTAGATACTAAATAGCAAAGTAGCAGTATCTACCTAGTAGATACTAAATAGCAAAATAGATACTAAATAGCAAAGTGTTTAGTAGATACTAAAGTAGCAAATAACTCGTTTTTGAGCTTTTAATCACGTTAAGTGCTCTTAAAATAAATTATCCAAGTCTGGGGATAAACAATTCACAGAGATTTTCATTCTTTAAGAAGCTACCCAGAGTGATTTTATTTTGTGCGAGACAGCACTCACATTTTTCAGTTGTCTGCCTTTTCACTAGGAATCCACTTAACCAGCGCAAAAGGACTCCGTTTGGTGACCTCTAGCGGGCACCGGACAATCTTACAAAATTATGAAAAGCGGAGGGCAAAGAATAACCCTTCCCTTTAACCAGGCAGGTTACCCTGTGGTCAGATGACCGCAACTCACCCTACTCCACCCTTATTTTTTTTTTTCTAATATTTGTTTTGCATCTAACACGGTTCGCCTTACAACTCACCTGTCTCGCCTCCGGTGGGCTGGACTGCTGGTGTCGGGTGTCAGGTGAATGAATTGCTGGTAGCAGTTTCAAATCATCCCTGCCAAGTGGAACCCACTCTCTGGGCACGGACAAGAGCGCGGGATGGATCGCTCTGCGGAGCCTTCAGGGGGCTCTTCTCGCTCGGAGGGCCGGTGCTGCAGCCGGGTCAGGGGTCCGCGGGGAAAATCAAGATATTTTGAAAAGGAGGATGCAGACGAAGACCACGCGAAAGGCTGTTTTTGCCGGTGACAAGGGGTTCCTCCCCAGACTTTCATCCCACACTAAGGGCAGCATCTCGAGAGGGTCCAGACGTGCTACATGTAGGTGCCTTCTCAGGACACGCGCCCCAGAACGTGGGGGCCGGGTCAGGGGCCGCTCCCCTCCGCG